TTGCTCCCTGCATCTCTTTGTCTTCCACCTGGGCTCGTGCAGAATTGCGAAAGAAACGGAGAACCGCATTCTGGAAAGCTTCAGTGGTGCCAAGCGATGGGCTTTTCTTCACAGCAAACTCGAGATACATAAACACATTGCTCTCGAATAGACTGACAACAAAGTCCGGTTCGATTGCCATGTGACAAAGCGCCAATGACGCTGCTCGAAGAACATTGTCGTCGCGGTTATGCTTCTTCATATTCTCCGTTACGACCGACACCAAGTCGTCGGCTTTGTGGTGCCTTGCGAATCGCTCGAGGTTGCTCTTGCTGGCCTTTGCAATGACGTGACAGGCAAACGTGAAGAGAGAGACATCGTAATCTCGGCTTCCAATCGTTTCTACCAGGTACGCCAAGTCACAGTCGCGAGCAGCCTCCAAATCGCAAAGGAAGGGCGTCGTGGCGATATGGGTAATGTCATCAAAAGTATTGTCGGGGTGGAAAAAGAGACGATGAGAACAATCCAGGGTCAGAAGCAAGGATTCATCGTTCGGACGGGACCAGTTGAATAAAGCACTGCCATTGTTGCGCGACCCATCCTGCTGGTTTTGTTGAAACTTGCGAATGATTTGTTCCAACGACAGCTTCTCTTTCACAACCACCATGGCGTTGTCTGATTTGGCAGTCAATGGCAAGCTTCGAACGATGGAGAATATGTGCTTGATTGTTTGTTCGTTTTCCTCTGTAAACATCATTACGTGGGCCATCCTGCGGGCCAGAAAAAGAGAGAGTTGATCGTGCCAGTCTTCTCGCAAGATAGGAGTATCCTCGTGAAAGAGACAATCGCCAGGCACAAAACAACCGGGAAGCTCATCGACTGAAAACACCACTTCAATGGCGACATCATCGAGGCGATCGCCTTGTTGTCGACGGTGGGCTGCACCATAGCCCCCAAAGGGGCGAATCCCGGCGCCACGGCGCATGGCCCGACTGCTTGGAGACCAAGGTTCGGCATTGACGATGTGGCGGGACACGGCTGTCGTCTTCATCTTTTTGTTATTCATGGAAGCTGATGTAGTGAAACCAGGCTGCAGTTGGGCCGTGGGCCCTGGCATCAAGGAGGAAGGACGATTCCAGTGTGCCATCGTTTGAATTTGTGAGGAGGAAGAGAGAGGCGCCAAACTTGGGCGAGAGAAAAATAATGAAACCCGATCACGCTTCCCCTCGAACGGTTCGATTTATTTGAATGATCAATCGATTGAACCGAAATCGAATGAGCCGAATCGAATTATTCGCATCCGCCAACGAACGCGTCCCATTGATCATGAACCTTACCACCCACGCAACCCTGAGCTTGAAACGAGAAATGCCTTGACGACACTATGAATGCATAACCCAAAAGACGCAGGAAAGCACCTTTTGAACCGTTCTCCTCTAACGCATCGTCATGTTCCTCCTTCCGCACAACGATACACCGTCGATGGTGGTGCTGCCTCTCAAGTGACGACACCGGTACGGTAGTACCGGTACAAGTAGCGGACAGCAGAGAAGTCCTTCATGTCTCACCACCAACTACCGTACCGATAGTGTCGAGTTGAGCTGGGTTACCGGAATCCAATCCAAGAGAGCAAGCTGAAGCCACCATGTCGGTGGCAACGCTGCCTGTACCGGTACCGCCGACTGGCCAAAGATATTTTTTGCACGATTGAACCTCGACCAAACCAAACGACCCACAAAAACGAAATCAAAATGAAGATCAACATCAAATTCAAACCAAATCAAAAGGACGACCATGGCCAACGAAAACAGTGAAGAAGGCCTTCGTTTCTCGTTTTGGTTTGATTTGATGTTTCCAGTCATAGTTTTTGAAATGATGTGACGCTGAACCCAAGCTTTGGGTAACACTCATAATCTCAGGTTCTTTGTTGATCAACAAGCTGTCTATCGCTCCCTGATCATTTCCTACATCTCGTTCATCAATTCATCCATCATGCCCAACTGGAGCTACGCTTTCGACCCCAATCGATATGATCCATCTCACGACGCCTATACAATCTTGAAAGCCCCCTCCGAATGCACGGATCGTGAACTCAAGCTACAGTTTCGCAGAAGTGCCCTCGAGTGCCACCCGGACAAGAGCAACGCCCCAGATGCAACTGCAAGGTTCCAATATCTCAACAACGCTTGGGAGATGCTGAAGACTCATCGTGCAAGCTACGATATCAGCCGCAATGCCTACCTGCGAATCCGTCGTCACCAAGAAGAAGAACTCCGTCGTCAACGAGAAGCAGAACAGATTCGCCGTCAATGGGAAGAGCAGCTGCGCCGTCAGCGGGAAGAGGAAGAGCGTCGTCAGCGGGAAGCGGAAGAGCGCCGTGAAAGAGAAGAACAGCTACGCCGTCAGTGGGAAGAGCGGCTACGTCGTCTACGAGAAGAACAGATTCGCCGTCAGCGGGAAGAGGAAGAGCGCCGTCGTGGGGATGAGTTGCGCCGTCAGCAAGAAGAAGAAAAAATCCGCCGCGAGCAGGAAGAGATACGCCGCGTTGAGCGTGAGATGGAAGTGATACGCCGCCGTCGGGAAGAGATTCTCCGTTGGGAAGAGCTGCGCTGCCGTGAGCTGGAAGAGCAAGAACGGCAAAAGCAGCAAGCTATGCGACCAAATCCTACAGGTACGAACGATTGCGACTATGTACCGCCTCGACGAACCCAGCCCAGTCGAGAAGCCAAGTCTCGGAACTTCTCCTACACATACGGGTGCAGCGAGAGCGAGAGTGAAATTGACAATGATAGCGTCATTGTCAGTGATAGTGATATCGGTAGCAGTGATAGCGAGAGCAAGAGTGGATGCCACAGTGATGTCATTGACAGTGATAGTGACAGCGATGGCTATGGAGAGTCTTAGGACCATGGAGGTTGCAGCCCTGGAATACATTTACATGTACCGAATTGGTTAGAAAGCGTAACTTGCAAACTAGTACCAGATCTTATCAATGTATCCTCGCGCACACTAGCATAGATATCACCCAAATCTAATCTGCAGGCCATCCCTAGGAAAGAATCCAGGTGTGTAGCTTTGCTTCAGGTTCTGGTCTTCTCGGAGCTTCCAATCATACTTCTCTACAAGCTTTCCGCACATGGTCTTGAGCTCCAAGGCAGCCAAGTAACGACCTGGACACATGCGTGGCCCAGTTCCAAAGGCAGCGGAACCACTGACCACAGCATCTTTCTCTCCTGAAGCCTCTGATGCAAATGTATCCCAGCAAGTGTTTTTGTCATGTTTTGAAGCCAAGGCCCCCGCAAAGCCATAGACTACCAGCCAACCAGCTGGAATGTCGTAGTCGCGGATTGTAAGTTGTTGCTTGGTCAGTCTCATACTAAAGGGAGCCGGCGGATATGCTTGCAACACAAGGTCGACAAAGCGCTCCACTTCCTGAGGACCCTTCTTTAGAGTTTCCTTGAGTTGGGGGTGCAGTGACAAGGTCAACCACATGGATGTCGCAGCACTAGCATCTGACCCTGCGAAAACCAGTGTCAGCACATTGTCCATAATTTCTTGGTCCGACAGTTGTTTCCCTGTTTCTTCGTCCACTGTGGACACCAAACGTCCCAGCAAGGAGTCATCTCCTTTGGATGCACGCGCTTGTTCCATCAAGGGAGTCATGGTGGCAACAATCCGTTCGCGGGCTCTCATCGCCTTGGCGGCGGTAGACCAAGGAATGAATGTCAATGGTGCCGCCAGGAGCCCTTTGCTCCAAGTGGTCAAGTCTTCCGCGAGACCGGGTGGTACTTTGCTGGATTTCCCCAAGAGAATTTGAAGGGCAATGGAAATGAAGAAGGACCTCAGATGCGGAACCAACTCAAAGTGTCCATCCTCATCGATGGTTTTTTCAACAGTGGAAAGAGTATTGAGAAATTCGTCCATGGCTTGATCAATGATGGGTTCGTAGACAGTTGTCATCAAGTTTAGCGACAAACTGGGTTGAATCAATCGGCGCAACTGATCATGGGCCTCTCCCGACTGCACAAGGAGCGAGTTGGGTCCAAACAACGATTGATGATGGGGCGGAAAGAAGGCTTCGGTGCCTTTGGTTGACCTGGTACGACCCTCTTCCTTGCCCATCAGTGTCAATGTTTCTTCGCTGGTGACAAAGACAGTCGGTTTGCCAAAGATGTTTGTCTTGAAGATATCTCCATACTGGTTGGTGCGCCTGGTCTGGTAGGAACCCATTGTCTTGGGGTTTAATAGTCGCAGGGAATCATCAAACAGGAAGGAAATGAAGCGAGGGGTCCTTCTTCCAGGAGGCAATCGCATTGGCGAGGTGTTGGCGTCATTGTCTTCGGATGTAACACTGGCAAATCGGTTGGATGACAGGGGCGAGGTCTCTCCTGGCAATTGCACGTCATGGCGGCTCAAAGGAAGAACAAAGCAATGGGCAGGGGTTGCCCAGAGAAGTGCAAAAGAGCAGATCAATCCATACATCTTGCTGTTGTCTTTCTTGCGGAATAATGAGCTGATGGATCTTCTATGCATTCAGATGGTAACGTTCTGTTGTCTCCTGACGGCGGTGCCTGTACGGTACAAGGATCTTCCAGGTTGGATCGTGGCGATCATGAGGGAAGCTCTGTCAGGAACACTGTGGAGACGCACAGTCTGACAGTCTGACGTCATGATAAGCTCGCAAAGCGGCTTGCTGCTGTTTACCAATTTGGGTAAGGGTGACTCGACTCATTCATGGCCTGGACGCTTCCCACGTGTCATGAAGAAAAATGAGGCTCATCAGACGCACAACATGTTCATCTCCACATCAATAGACGGAAGATTCCATCATGCGATTCTATTCTGTACTACTTTCACAGCCACGAGTATCACCACGTAGCAATCATGAAACAGACAGATTCGAAGCTGAAGCCTGAAGGTATAGGTTGGGACACAAAATAATCCCCTGTACCATCCCAGCATCGAGAGCACCACGCAGAAGTGCCACGATGGTAAGCCGTAGAATATCCTCTGCCATCAGCCTGTGCTTCGCCATTTTGATATCGGCGGCCGAGGGGACAACCTCGTCCATCCATGGCACAACCGCAGAGTCTGACAGTCTGCTCGTTTTGGAGCCTCTAGTCTGCTCCTCCAAAGTGTTCGACCTCTCAACTTCAAATGGCACCACATTTTCCCCTAGCAACGCTACATTTGTATGTACACATGACGATGCTGAAGCACCAAGAATACGGACCCTCTTGGGACAAGTGGGCAGTTGGTACAGTGCATCCTTAGAGTCCAATCCAATATTGACAAAAGCGACCACAGCGGCAGCAATGGGGGCATGTGGGGATATCTTTGCTCAAATGGTAGAAGCCTGGTCGGTAGGATTTGTCTTTCACTGGAGTGATCTGCACTTGCGACGAATCTTTGCCGTTGCGGCAGAAGGAATGTTTATTTCCGGCCCCCTCATGCATCTCTCTTATGAACTATTGGAACAACACTTTCCTGTGTTTGCCGATGATGAAGCGGACACCAACTCCACGGAATATTCCTCCTGGTTCATGGTCCTTTGTCAAGTCTTGGTGGATGCCATTGTCATGGATTCTGTCTTTGTGGCCACTGTTATTGCCGCCACTGCCGTGCTGGAGGGGCGAGGCAGAGATCTCATCAATGAATTGAAAGCAACCTACATTGCCGCCGTCAAAGCCTCATGGATCTCGTCCCTGTGCTGGAGCCCCGTGCAACTCTTGTCATTCAAATACGTTCCCTTGCAATTCCGAGTGGCTGCCGTGAATCTTCAGGATATTGCATGGACAGCTACAATCAGCTTCGTGGCACATCGATGTCACAATCAGCACCGTACTATCATTTCCCAAACCAAGTGCCAAACCGACAAGCAAGCAGAACAAGATCGCAAAAGATGATCGAGTCAAGCTCTGTATTAGTAGAGCGAACGGCAGCCCTTCCGTGTAACAAATAACTCTCATATTGATTAGACGGTGTACGTCCAGATCAACTCCTTCCCTTTCTCTTTGCCTGGCCATTACAGCGGCAGGACAAGCTCCTGCGACAGCCCACCCGAGGGGAGCATGCCTCCTACTAGCATGCCTTAGAATATAGCGATGTGCTGATCCATGCATTTTGGTGTGCTTGTTCTACTACCGGTATGTTGCCGTTGATGGTGGACACAGCAGGTTCATGATTAGGAGAAAGATGCGGTAAATAATCTCCTTAAACTGAGATAGATCATGGAATATTCTATGAGGTGTGTACTTGATCTGCGTATCATCTCGTATCATTCAACACTTTCAAAAATGAGCACAGCGTTCTTCAAGCAACCACTAAATGTCCTTATAGCCCACAATAATATACGAAATGAATGATTCAATCCACCCATTAACTGGGTTTGGTCTTGGCCTTGTCCGACGTAAAAATTCCCGGTTCCATAAAATGCACAATAGTTCCAAGACTGGTAAGAACCGCCAAAGAGGCACTCACAGTTAAAGTATATCCACGAACAAAATCACTGTAGGCAATGGTACAAAACATGATGGTTTCTTGGCAAATGACGATGCCACGATAATGTGCATCTTCAGCAAGGACTCCCATGGTGCAGCCAATTAACATTATCCCATGCAGCATTCCCACAACATTCAACAGGTGCTCTTCAAAAGCCGAAAATTCATGGTCGGGCGGCACAACACCGGCATCCACCATGCCTTTGCCCATATTGCCCGAAATGGCAACAAGAGTCATGACAGCATGCAATAGCCCCAGGAGGGGGAGAATTCCATGTTTCAACAATCCCATGCTTGTTACTGTTTCCTTTTCTTGGTTGAAACCTGACCGTGTTCTGTGGAAGATTCGATGCGTTGGATGCAAAGTCTTGTGAGGGATGGAGGGAAAGAAAAGGGGCCAGGGATTGTCGTTCCTCGCGTCTTGGTCGTGGTTGTTTCAATCAAAGTCTCGGTCTATCTTTGTTCTGTGGTTGTGAGATTGATATCCTTCTTCCGCTCTCAAGCACCAGCAACAGGAGTGTTGCACAGACTGTGGACTGATCGAAGATCGCATTCTGTTCATTTGACTCGCCTCGCTACCGGTACCGTATCCCTACCGTACCGTACCGGTATGCAGCATTTCCATGCAGGCATGGAGGGGTACCGGTACAGAACCGGTACCTACCAGTACATGTATCGGTACAGTCGTACGGTAAGGTAAAATAAGAGTTCTCGTGTCCTTGGATCTTCGAGCGGTACCGGTACAAGCAGGTTCGCGTTTGTCAACTTAGTTAGATGACCACTGTACACTGTACCGGTACGATACTACAGTATGGTACAGTCGTATCAGAGCTCTACCGAGGATCGAGGGAGCTCACATTTATTTTGAGAGGAGCAAGTTCCAAAGCTCTGCCTTAACCACCTTGACGGCTTAACGTTTCGGAAGGCTTTCGCATGACTGAATGTCGGTGGCACCACTTTTACATTGACGTCATCCATGGCCGGGCAGGTCCTCATCACTGTTACTGTCACTGTCACTTTTCAAGTCGTGCTGTTGTTTAGGATCCAGCCCGGGCAAACCTTGAGAAAGGACAATGACTTGCTTTCATGAACGCCAACTCCCGAGTGTGGGTGTGTTGTTGGCGAGGTGCTGACGATCTACATCCGTATGAGAGAGGATCCAAAGGCCAGAAAGCAAAGGCCGAAGCTTCTCACAGAACCATTTCAATACTCCAGATTCTGAGGCGACACACATCACCCTTTCCATCCCGTCCCGTCCATTCGAAATACCAATGATCAGGAGAGCCATAACCGTGTCCGTAAGACACAAGACAAGAGAATCCCAGGAGAGTACTTCACCAACCAATCAAGACGTCAACGTTGTATGCACCGAGGATACGGAACTCGGGGATACAGACAGCAGCAAGTCGGAAACTTCTCAAGGCGATAATGAGCAGTATGTCGGCGCTTGGGCGATCGATGGGCCCTTAATGGCTGAAGCAGGCTTGACAAGGCAACCAATGCGTCCACCACCAACCGATACCCCAGAATCCTCGTCAACATCAGACGACGGCGCGACTATGACAGACACTCTAGCAGTCGCAGAACCCGTCTCCGATGTCAGGCCTGAAGAAATGCCTCGAGCTCGAGAGTGGAACGCGTCGGAAGCAGTACCACCCAAGCCTTCGCAGCAAAGGAAGCATTTGGCTAGGTGTCTTGGCATCGGGCTATTTGCCGCGGCAGTGTCTTTGACTGTTTTTGTGGTTGTGCATTTTACCTTAGGAGCGGGCAGTCTAGAAGATCTGCCAACTGAGAACATTGCGATTCCGGTGCAATCGACGGAAGAACGCGTTCTCTCTCTTTTGCCGGATTATACTGCCAGATCGATTGCGAGGGGTGACTCTGCCCAGGCCAATGCTTTTCGCTGGCTAGCGGAGGATCCTAAAGTCGGGAACTACACTGATTGGCGGCTGGTGCAGCGATTCTCGCTAGCCACACTCTATTACTCCACCGGTGGGTAGTGATACGTATTGAGTGCTAGATGGTTGATCTTGGCTTTGCCATACAGTCATATCTAACTGTGCTTCATTTTCAATCAATGAATTGCTAGGAGGAGATACGTCCCGAGGGTGGATCCGCAGCGACAATTGGCTTAGCTACGACCACCACGAATGCGATTGGTATGCAACAGAAGGTGAAACAGTGGGTACAATATATGAGCCTACGTGGAGGGGCATGTATCATCAGGTCTATGACCTCGCTGGTGAGACCGCATGCTCAGAGACCGAAGTGTATCGACATGTCTGGCTCATTGCAAATGATCTTGAAGGAACCATTCCAGATGAACTCTTCCTTTTGACATCCCTGAATTGCTTCTCCTTTCGAAACAACAATCTCCATGGAACACTGCCTTCGTTAGTTGGCCAGTTGACTGGCATAGAAGCAATTGACTTGTCCAATAATGAGATCAGTGGAGTCCTCCCTTCCGAGCTTGGTTTGTGTCCCAAGGTCGACGGTATCTTCACAACGTCGAATGAGCTCATGACAGGTGAGTAAACAAAACTGTTTGTCACCGCCCAGCACAACGACATCATCGGATGTCACTCAAATCGTGCTTTTCCTGCACCCCCCACCCCCCAGGAAAGATTCCTTCTGAATTGGGTCTGCTTACAAACTTGAAATACCTCGTGGTAAGAGATCAGATGGTTGCTTATGACGGTGTACTTGATAGTGTTCGGTATCACTCCTCACCATCTCGCAGCTTGACCGCAACATGCACACAGGCGAGCTGCCATCTGAGCTTGGCAATCTGTCCAACTTGTATTGGCTGTTTCTTTCTACGAACATGCTGTCGGGCTCCATACCAAGTGAGATTGGAAAGCTCAAGAACGCCAGTGTCATTCATCTATTTGACAATGATCTAGTCGGAGCTGTCCCCTCCGAGCTTGGGAACCTCAAGGGAACTCACCAGTTGACGATTGGAGGAAATGCATTGACAGGCACCTTGCCGAGTGAACTGGGCAATCTTGAAGATATTCTGATTTTTGGAATCTGGAATACCCAAATTAGTTCAACAGTTCCAACTGAAGTAGCAGGAATACCAACCCTCCAAATCTTGATGCTGGATAACAACAATCTTTCTGGTGCCATCCCGTCTGAACTCGGAGGGTTGCAGACTCTTTGGGTGCTCTCTTTGGCGGGCAACTCACTCTCTGGCAGTATTCCATCGGACCTCTGCAAGGCTTCGTTTCTCACAGCACTGCAGCTGAGCAACAACAATCTTTCAGGTACTATCCCTCCAGAGATTCGGCATCTGAAATACTTCTTGAGCCTCCTGGATGTCTCTGGCAATGCTCTCACGGGCGGCATTCCCAGCGAACTTGGAAGGCTTCGTTTATTACAGGAGGTATCTCTGCACTCCAACCAACTGTCGGGCACCATCCCAAGTACCCTGGGGCTACTGTTCAAGAAGGAGTCGTCTCTTTTGGATTTCCTCAAGGTTGGTGGAGCGCTGCCTGACATCATCGACTCCATCGTTCCAACAGGCACATTAAACCTGGCAAACAACAGCCTTCATGGTTCCCTGGCTACAGAGCTTGGTCTAATGTCCACTTTGAAGAGCTTTTCAGTTGGAGGCAACAGCCTCACCGGCAGTGTCCCGTCTGAACTGGGTTTGCTTTCTTCTGTCTCAATGTTTGACATTGGAGACAATCACATCAGTGGGAGCATACCACAACAGCTATCGGAGGCATTCTCAAGCCTCCATCTATTCAACATCTCCGGCAACGACATGACTGGGACTGTTCCTGAGAAATTCTGCAGCCTGAATGCCGGTTTTGATTGCTCTGACTCGATCTGTGGATGTGACTGTCCTTGCTAGCTTCTCTGTTTGTTCAGGGTTTGGGCCTCTGTTTGTTCAGGGTTTGTGCCAGCTGTCAAGGATGATGTGAGAATGAGTAAAAGGAAGAGACCAGGCCAAAACCCACTCCGGTTCCAGGGGCACATGCCTGTGTTTTGCACAGTTTCATCGCGCTTCACATTGACGACTGTGGCGAGTGCCGGGCACGGTTGCATCACGCTTCATTGCCAAGTGAACTGGGCAATCTTGAAGAGCTTCTCATGTTGCTCGGCATCTGCTATTCCCAACTTAGTTCAACCATTCCAATGGAAATATAGCAGGAATGCCAACCCACCAATTCTTGCTCTGGGAAACAACAATCTTTCGGGGACTATCCTGTCTGAACTCAGAGGGTTGTGGACCATTTTGTTGCTCTCTTGTAGGGCAACTCAGTCTCTGGAAGTATTCCATGGGACTTCTGCAAAGCTGCAGTGCTCACAGCACTGGAGCTGGGCAACAATATGGTACTATCCATCCAGAGATTCACCATCTGAAATACTAGCTAGAGCGAGGAGACACGGCAAAACCCACTTCGGTTCCAGGGAAACATGCCTGGGTTGTGGACAGTTTCATCGTGCTTCACATTGACTACAGTCTCAGTCTATCAAGATAGACGACCATGCCAATGTCGGGCACGGTTGTATCGCGCTTCCCTTCGTACATGTACCGGTATATTGATTGCACAGTTAGTCTTTCAGCAGAAACAGCTTTTCATAAATTACTACATATTTGTGTATTGCCACTAAAAAACTCAAAAATCTACTGCCCTGGCCACCCGTGTTCATCATTGTTGTTGCTGCGGTTGTCTCAACGAAACAGCCAGAGGAAGAGATTCGGCGGGCCGAAGAAGGAACCGGTTCGTGCTGGTCTTGAATTGATGGCCGGGTACAAGATGAAACTCCAAATCCTTCAACAATGTGGCCAGCACAATAACAGCTTCTTGCAGCGCAAACTTTTGCCCGACACAAGATCTGGCTCCGGTCGAAAAGGCGAGCATGGCCTTTCGGTTTCCTGCTGCAATGGAGCGGGAAGTGTCCGTTTCCGTTCGTTCCGTCCATCGAGCAGTGTTATTATTATTGTCAGGTATAGCCCATCGATCTGGTCGGAAACATTCGGGTTGTGGGAACACAGCTTCATCGTGATGAATGGACCAAATCGGAATTTGGACCCTTGTGAGTGTGGGTGCCACAAAGTTTCCAATCTGCACCGGTCGCTCCAAACTTCGACCCGTCCTGACGGCAGGAGGAAACAATCGCAGTGTCTCCCAAATGACAGCCGAACAATACACGAGCTGGTCCATATTCTCATCAATGGACGCCACGGCCCGAATCTCTTGTACACAAATCTGTTGAAGTTCCGGATGCTTGGCCATCAAGTACAAGGCAAATGTCAGGGTGGCGCTGGTGGTATGATGTCCTGCCAGCAAGAGTGTCATGAGGACGTCAGTAATGGACTCGTCCGAGACGTCTCGAGGTGTGAGTTGTCGTCGTCTACTGCTGTTTTCAGTTTCATTATTCATCATGGCATAATGTGCTAGCACGAGATGGGAGAGCAAGTCTCGGTCTCCATCTTTGAGAATGTCGCGTTTCTCATTGAGTAGGTCGGCGACAAAGGATCGAATGACACGACGCTCTCTCCGCTGACGCCGATTTTGTGTGGTTGGAATAATGTAGAATAAATGGCGAGGGCGCCAGGGCGATCGGACGCGATCCATGAGTTCTTCCATTAAAAAGTCAAATGCTTTTACCAGAGGCGTGGGTGTAAGACGTCGACAGCTTCCCAAGTCAGTCCCCAGACTAATGAGACCAAATATATCCATGGCCACCAATTTCATGGTGTTTTCCAAATCAATGCAAGTGGTTCTTCGGGAGGAACGACGAATCTTGGCCGACAAGGCATGTACCATCGACTCGGCAACCTGCCTCATGATTCTGCGACTGTCCATTAAAAAGGTCTCATTGAATGTGCTTGCCACAATATTTCTGTGGAATTTCCACTCGGCACCATTGAGTGTCACAATGTTGCAGTTTCCAACAAATTTCGCCAAGAATCGCTTCAGGACGGCCGGTGGGTGGCGTTGCGAAGATGTCTGCAGAATCATTCGGGCCGTGTCGACGTTGGAGACGGAAAGCACGGGATGCCGGCCAACCCAAAGACCCGTGACACCATACTCATTTGTGCTCTTGTGAATTGTAGTCATGGCTTCTTCAAAGTTGTTGTCTGCAGCAAACAAAAGATGGAGATGGCCAAACAGCCACTGGCTATCGGGAGCCATGGGGATGCCGGAGAAAGGCTTCTTGGTTTGCAGGTGCCGCCGCAATCGAACCAGAACCAGAACCACGACGGCTGCGGTTGTAAAGAGGACGACGGCAGATGGACACACCTCTGCCAGACCCAACGGGCCCATCATGCCGTAATAAAGCAAGCTGGACATGGTTGATGTATTGCTCTGCCTCTCCCTCCTTGGAGCTGTTGCTTTGTGCTTGGTGGTGGTTGGTAGCAGTATCTGGCTGGGGCTCTTCGATTCTTCGCGTCAGCTTCTTTTCCTGTAAGAAGCAGGGACAGGAGGGGTGCTACAGTAACTACAGTATTGTGCTATTTTCCTTGTTCATTTGGGGCTGGGACGCTCGGGAAACATGACGCCAAGAGCGCTTTGTTTCACAGTACTAGCTAGCTAGTACCGGTACAATCTTTGCTAAATCCACTGAATCTCATCAACTGGATTGGACGATGCATTCGATTCTGGCGGGCAGCAGAGGAAGAAGTTGCTAGCTAGACTAGTTGGCAGACAGATGCGAGCACACATCATTCAGCAGCTTCCTTCAGACAGCGAGCTCGCTAATGATTGCAGCCACCTGGCTAGCTAGCTTTTGTAGTTGTCCTAATGCATCACAGTTTGTTGTCTCGTGTAAGAGCATGATCAACGGTGACAGCAAATATAAGCGCAAATGTCAGACTTACAGGTACCATCGCTAATGGAGGGAAAGTGGCACAACAGAAATAGTGTCACCATCATTGGCTTACCATAAATAAGCGAGTTATCTGTAAAACCTGACTACTCCCGATAGGGATTCGCCAATCGCAAAAGATTCTTCTCTCATTTTCTGCGAGAGGAACACCATGTCGTCGCCTGAGAAAACGTTGACTGATCTTGGCATTGCATTGTCACTTCTAGCTGTAGTTCTGTTGAGGAATGGCCCTTCCTTTCTTCGCACTCATGCCAGGTTGATTTCCCATCTGTTTCTGTTTGGAGCAGTGGCAACAAATGCTTTGGAAAGGGCAATCAGAGAGGAAAGGTTAGGTCAACGGACAATCGTTGAAGCAGTGACCACGGCAGTGTATTCAGACTTCTATGACACTAACCATCGAAAGAGGAAAGCAGTTTCTGAACAGGAGGCAGCTTTGCGTGCTGGAAAGAAGAGGAGACCCACAAGACATAACCACGAACGTGCAAGACAGTGCGTGCAGGAAGATTGGCTTGGAAATGACGCCATTTTCTTGGAGGGTGTTCAGACAACCAAGAAGCCATGTAGAAAGGCTTATTCAGGTCTGTATTCGTCATGAGCCAAGGTATTTCTCATCAGATCGCAGGGATGCAGCAGGAAAGCCAGGAATTTCAGTTGAAGTGAAGGTTCTGGGCATTCTGAAGTGCACTGCTTTTGGTTGCTCAGGTAGCGCCTTCATTGATTATCACCAGATGGGGACAAACACTTTTACGGAGAACCTCAAAGCTTTCTTCCGTGCCATTAAGCAAGACAATGAACTGCAAGGGAAGTACATGCGTGCTCCAACAAAAGCAGATGCACAGCGGATCACAGCTTTGCACGAACGGAAGCATGGAGTTCCTGGGATGCTCTGCAGTATTGACTGTCTCCACGTCTTCTGGAAGAACTGTCCAGTGGCATGGCAGGGGCAGTTTCGGAATGGCAAGAACAAGCATTCCTCCATCGTCGTGGAAGCTGGGGTAGATTACAACACCTGGGTTTGGTCTGCATCGATCGGTCATGCTGGAACTCAGAGCGACATCAATATCTGGGATCAGTCTCCTCTTCACCGAATGTTCCTTTCGGATGAGATGGTGGAGAACATAGACTTCAGCTTCCATGTAGATGGTGAGCATTTTGATATGCTGTGGTGTCTTGTTGATGGAATTTATCCCGCCACAGCTCGCTTTGTGAAGACCATCAGCTATCCAATCGGTCATGCTGCCAGGATGTTTGTCGAGTGGCAAGAGGCCTGCAGAAAGGATTCGGAAAGGACTTTTGGTATTGTGGTTCGCAAGTTTCAGATTCTAGCAAGGCCGATGGAATACTGGGACTTGGAAGATGTTAAGAACATCACTTACGGATGCTTCGTGATGCACAACATGATGGTGGAGCGTCGTGTGGAGAGGGAAGAGACAGAAGAAGCTGGCATGTACGATGTTCTCAGCAGCGCGGAGGACGATCAAGAAGAAGCCAGAGGAGATGACTTGGACCAATTTGTTCGTTTCGCTCACAGGTTTACTCCACAGGCACGAGACATGGCCTATCAAATCCAGCTTGCCAAGGAGCGATTCACCAAGCTTAATAACGATGCACGTCATGTGAGACTACAGCGGGCTATCATGAACCATGTCGCGGCCAATTATATCGAAGAGAAGAAGAGGCGATCTCCATCATTGTGATTGGCCTTCCTTTCCTTTTGTTTCGAAGTTTCGAAATTGAAGTTGTGGCTGGGATTCAGTACCGGTTCTGTAGACCTTGTACTGGTGGCAGGCGTTTATTCGCCCAGGAATGAGACAACCAACTGATGACACCACTCGACTGGCTCCTGTGCTGGCTCACTGGCTCACTGACTGACACTCGCACTACTGTATTGCACTATTGCTATCGAGTGAAAAACAATGATAGTATATGGCTATTGATTTAAACGTCCTGCACTATTCACCATGAGCCTTGCCGTTGCCTTGCCCTTCTGCCGTGCCGATGTCTCTCCATACTGTACGTGTTGCCTCTTCCATCATGAGTTTGTCTTGCGGTTCCGTGGAATGTCATGTCTTGGTGGTCAAATTGGTCATTTAGTTGCATTCTTCGTCTTCGCTGCTAGAAGCACTGCCCTTCTTGTCGGATGCTTTCTTCTTCTTCTGCATACTGGCAACCTCCTGTTCAAGCTTCAAGATGCGGCGCATCTGGAGAAGCTTCTTCTCTGTTGCATCATTTCGAAAGTACTCTTCTTTGTCGTTTTCAGTCCACTGTGAAACGGCCACCTGGTCAACAAGGTGGGTGGAAATATGACCGATCGCTTCGCTGACTGATGCTGCCTCCTGCATTGTCCGATTGCCACCACCGCTGCCACTTAACCCTTTGCTTTCGATCATCTTGTCAATCTTGTCATTAAGAGCTTGCTGTCTCTTTCCTGAGGAACGCTCACGATGATGGTGCTTTTTCTTGTGCTTCTTATCCTTGTCCTTCTTCTTGGGCGCACTGTCGTTGGCAGCAGAGAACTTGGGAAAATCCTTAAGGATGTGGTAGCAGTCAACAAACTGGAACTTCGAACCCATGTTATGCTCATACATCTCCAAGCAGCGAGCCAAATGATCCTCAGGAGTCTCGCCGGACTTGATTGGATTCTGTTTGACTACAGCAATCAATTTGTTGACAGCATGCTTGATGGTGGAAAAGCGAGATACCACACTCCTCTGTTGTCGGTCAGTTGGGAGTTGCTCTTCGTGTACCTCATTGTGGTCGTCGACCAAGGCAACATAATTGGAAAAGAGCTTCTTGTTGAAGTCCGACTGCCTCTGGTCAGAACCATTCCTGGAGTCTTCAGTTTGGCTGCACCAAGATTCGACAATGAAAACATCTTCCTCTGGAGTAAAGTTCTTGCCACGCTTCTTCCTTTCCTTCTGAGTCTTCTCTTGGTTGAGGAACTGCGTGAGTTCTTCCATGTCCTGGTTCTTCTTTTCATTCGCGTCCTCCTCACATTCCAATCCTTCTTCCTCGATGTCGTCTTCTTCTACTATTTCTTCTTCAGCGTTGTTCTGGGTGGCCAACATGTCTGGTGACTTGTTTCCTTCCTCAAGTTCGTCTTCAGTGGAAGCATTTACCTCCATGCAGTTGCGGCAGGTGAGAAAGCCTTCTTCACACATCACCGAACAGGGAAGGATGGAGTGACAGTTAACTCCACAAGTGCTGCACTTGTGGCGGTAGCATTCCATTTGGGGATATGGGCAAAGATTCCCCAATGCTGCACAGCATCCACGACGTCGGTCAGTCTCCGGTACTTTACCACTGCCACGAAGAGGGGGCATGACAGGTGAACTGGTAGCAGTAACTCGAGGCAGAACGGCTGCAGCTGAAGCCGGTTTGGAAGCTGTTTTCAGAGAAGCTTTCTTCTTCGAGGTGACAAGAGTACTGACAACCTTGCGCTTGTTGCTGTTCTTGTTGCGTCTCATCTTGTCTTGATTCATCAGAGAAAGGAATTGGTCTTGAGACCAAGGAGACCACGGTGATATTCCAAGATCGTTCTGCGCCTTCTGAGGTGTCTGTGTCTGGGTGACCTTGGTTGGAGGCACACTCAAATTCTGCGTTGGTCTTGATGCCACAACAATCTCCGGAGACGAGACGTATTGAGTTTCGTCTTCTTGTTGTGTCTCAAACTGGGTGAGACGATCGGGGTTCCACGAAGACATTCCCAAAAACTATGAACAACAACAACTGTACATGAACAGCCGGACTGCTTGCATCTTCCAAGACTTGGGGTGAGTACACCGACAAAACCCACAATATTCCAGTTGATAGCCTCATCGTCGATGCTTCTTCTTTCTTCTGTTGCAGCAATTGACTACATACAACGATGGTGGTTCCAGCATGTGCGACTGGCATGCTCTGAGCGTGACTAGACTTGCAACCAAGACTGCGATCATTCATTATCTTCATGTTGGATACATTCAATCTTCCCTTTTATCGTCGACAATCAACCATATCTACTCACAGCAAATCCATCGAATTTGGTGCGAGTGGCTATCTCCAATAAAGCGAAAGCAAATATTTGTGCTTAAATGAGGTCTATTTGATGCCGTAGATGGTGACAATGGCCCTCAAATAGGCGTAAATCCTCAAAAGTAAGTTTGCGCTTATATTTGCTGTCACCGTTGATCATGCTCTAACAGCAGAACTACAAGTAGCGAGAATACGCATAACATCGGTACCTACTTAATTAATGTACGTACTCATGGTTGCTTTCGTTTTACTGGGCCAGGCCAGGCCACCGGTAGGCTCAAGCCCTGGATTCAACAATGAGAGGCAGGCCGTTGGCAGGCTTGAGAATCAGGTCCTTGGCCGTCAACTCAAGCTCGAAGTTCTCCACAGGCCCGAACTTGAGTCCTTTCACAAGGGTGGCCAAAACAATAATGGCCTCCTGAGAAGCAAACTTCTGCCCAACACAGTTCCTTCCTCCAGCCGAGAAGGCCAGCATGGACTTCCTGTCTCCGGCAGCAATGCCTTTGTCGCTCGACGGTTCATCTCCAACTTCACGCTCGACCCAGTGCTTCTTCTCGTCGTCCCACTTGGCCCAACGGTCAGGGCGGAATTCCTCAGGCTGTTCAAAGTATTTCTCGTCGTGGTGGATACTCCAAATGGGGATGTTAACCCTGGTTCCTTCCGGTGCCACAAATCCGCCGCTCACTTTGATGGGCTTCGCAAGAACACGGTTGGTGCGGACCCCCGCAGGATAGAGTCGGAGCGCTTCCCAAATCACTCCTTTGGTATAGGTCAACTCTTCCACGTTTTCCGTGTTCTTGGCGGCTTCAATTTCTTTGAAGCAACGTTCCTGAACTTCGGGGTTCTCTGCGAGGAGGTAGAGAGCAAACGTCAACGTGACAGATGTAGTATCTGCCAAAGAGCGAACGGATGAGAGGAACAATGAAGTCAGAGGCGGGGGTATCGAGTGCTCTAAAACCAACCCAACGGGACAGTGTCTTACCATACCCGGCAAACAGCAAAGTCATCAGGGTATCCATCATGGCATCGGGGTCCGCTTCGCCCTCGGGGGCACCTTGATGAGCACGGACTAGATGCGAGAGCAAGTCGTTGTCGTCTTCCTTCAGCGAGCCCTTCTTTTCCTCGATAAGATCGGTCAAGAAAGAGCGAATGAGCTGGCGTTGCTTCTCGTGCTCAATGTTCTTCTCGACAGGGATCGAGAAGAAGAAATTGGTGGGTACATAGGGAGCTCGGAGCCTTTCGGTGGTACCCTTAAGCAGGTACTCGAATGCTCGGACAAGGGGAGAAGGCTTGAGCGTGCTGCACAGTCCAAAGTCAGTGCTGAGACCAATCTTTCCAAACAGTTCCAGTGTAATCATCTTCATGAGGGACTCTATCTCCAACTCCTCTCCGGTGGAGCCAACCTTTTGCTTCAGCGTAGCCACCATGATCTCAGCTACTTCTTTCATTCCAGTTCTGGATCCATTCAAGAAACCAGGATTAAATGTCCTCGTCACAGCACCACGATGGAATTTCCATTCCTTGCCATTGATCATGAGGAGGTTCTTCTCTCCAACGAAATGTCGGACAAAGTGTTTCATGAACCAAGGGGGGCGGCGTTCGTGCTCTGCGTTAAGGACCGTCCTGGCATCTTTCACCGAACTGAGCGTGAGAAAGCGAAAGCCGACGAACCAGAATCCTACTTGCCCATACTCATTGGCGCTGTCTTCGCCCAGCGTCTTGAAGGCTTTACGAAAGTCACCAGTGAACAGGGCGCTTCCATGCCCGAAGATGAAGTGATTGCCCTTTGCCATGGGCAACTCGGCGAAGGGCTTCTTGTTCTCAAGGTATCGGCGTAGTTGCTTGAACGCAACATAGATAGCTGTAGCCGCAACGACGGCAACGGCTAGTAGGATCATGGTCCCATCAACGGGGGTGTCTGCAACTGCCAACATTGTCATTTTCTTTAATTCTTCCTTGATACACAATGACGAAAAGATCAGTGTTAGCTTCAGTCCTCATACCGATTCCATGCCATGTACGGAAAAGAAGTCACCACTGCTGATCACTCCTTCATTTCCTCCGCTTCCCTTCCCATTGAGCACAAACAAGAAACCACTAGTACTCACCGCTTCCACAACAACAACACAATCAAAGAAGTGCGTAACCCAATTTGTGGTGCTGTTCTCTGTTCGAATGCACAAAGATCCTCCCTCCACCCTCCACGAATCAATTGGATCAGATCTTTGGACGTAAGCCGCGAGAGATTCTTCATTCGGACCTGGATAGTGATTTAACGTCATTGTTCACCCTGGACCCGGGTTCTTACAACACGCTCTAAGTAAGTGCCCCCTGTATGACCCAGTCGAATGGTACTATTAATAGTGCCGTAACCTCACTCTTACCCCGAGTAGCTCACCGAGTTCTGTTGACAAAAAGCAAGATGGTGACATGTACGCAGGTACCCGCTGCCGTGCGTACCGCTACCGGTGCCCTCATTATCGATTCAAAGGTCGAAGTGACGACTTGCTGTACACGAGCACCCTAATCCCTGAGCAATTGTGGCAGGGTTGGGGCGACCTTGACTGTGATGATGCTCGACGAGATTCTGCTACTTGTCATCACCGTGGTGGGATTCAATTAATTTAGCAGTGTGGCTGGGAAGACTTGCTTGCGGGGGCCTTCGATTCCTGTGCTGTGGACTACGGTAGGAGAGGCAATCCATAGCGAAAGCACCCACGCTAATTCGATTTGGGCTTTAGGGAGTCCACCTAAAGTAGGCAATGGGTTGAGAATGGGAAAGAAGTCAGTTGTCCTCTTTGGGTTCTCGCGTAGTCCGTCTGCGAACTTGAATAGAGACGACTCCAACGTTGGGGCATTCAACATCGGAGGCAGGGCTCTCCAAGGCCAACCAACGTTACCTGCACAGATACGCAACGTACCAACATGAACAGACACAGCTCTGCCAACGAATGAATCGTTTGCACTCCATGGTGTTGTCTCACGCTCAACGTCCCAAGCGAAGATCTCGGGCCTCCTTCTCGACCGAGGAGCTGAAGCTGTTTCTCTAAATCCAGCTTGTCACAATACTTGCATTCGGCTTTAGTGGTTGCGTTCACGTGCGAGAGAATAAACAGGTAAGCTTGATACGAATTGGAGATTGGCATGGCGAATATGGACAAGTTCTAAACGTATCTTCTCGACGACAAGACATGCCGAAACGAAAGAGCGCCGAGACTACCGGTAAGGGAGGGGGTAGTGTCGAGGAGAAAGAAGCCGCCATTCTCGCTGTCATGCTGAAGTTTCACATGGAGGAGAAGCATGATGCGAACTTTGACGATGTAGCCCATGAACTGAGCATTCACGCAAGGAACAAGAATTGGCGGTCTGTTTGGCCGTTGCTTCAGGAACAAGGGTTCGTAGCACCCTCGGCTTCAGGAAAGAAGGGCTTTCAGATAACACCTGAAGGGATCGAAAAGGGTAAAACGCCTGAATACGTTGAGTTCATGAAGGACAAGAACTTCGTTGCTACCACCAACGAGGAACACCAAGGTCGTATCAAGAGTCGTTTCAAGAAGAACCTTTCCGTCAAACTCTTCGACATGATTCTCAAGTATGGTTCCCTCTCTCGCAGCGAGCTCGCTGGATTGGTGCGAGAGAAAGACAGAAGCCACGGCTTCAGCTACTCACTCCAAGAACTTCGGAAGAAGGAACTGGTGGAGCCTAATCCAGACGCCAGCACCAAGGTGAATGGAATCAAACTTCGCCTATCTCGCAAGGCTTTCTTGAAGCCGGAAGACCGCCCAGAGCCGGAACCCATTGAACCTGAGACGCTGGCTGAAGCCGTGGCGTGGAACAAGTCAACAAAGCCCAGAAACGGAAAGAAGACGTCTGAGGATGCTGACGAGGACGCTGACGAGGACGCTAACGAGGACGCCGACCAAGAAGAGCCGAAGACTAGAAAGAAGAAGCCAAGCAAGCGCTCTAAAGATGTCAAACATGATGATGCCAACGATGGAGACGACACTGAAACTAAAGAGGCCCCTGGTGATAAGGATGCCACAGACAGAGATGAGGATGGTGATGAGAAAAAGAAGAAGAAGCCGAAGAAGAGCAGCAGGAGCAGAAAGGCCAAGTCGAAGATTGTCAAGGCAGAGGCAGCCGAAAATGGCATCAAGCAAGAGAAGGAGACCTCTTCCGAGGAGCTTGAAGAGGCTGAGGAGGACAACGGCAACGAGTCGAAAGATCCTGAGAAAATCACTTCACGTGGCATTAAACCTGAAAATGACATGGAGGTCAAGACAGAATAGTGGAAGCATCCAGTTGTGCGTGTATGGCTAACTGACCACCATGGCAGGAAACTTGTCATCTAGGTCATATACCTTCAAATCTGCTTCGGCATCCTATGTTATCCAACCACACCAATACTGGTGGCAAGCTTACCAACCAACCGAATCGTTTGGATCATTCCCTATTTGGCCCGTCGCTTCTGCAGATGGAAATGGGAGGACAGTCACTGCATTATGATTGCTGTGTCACAATGAAACTTCATCATCTATTATTCATTTTTTTAAGTCCATCTTCCTTTGTAAATGTTGCCGTCAAAGGTAGGGCTAATTTGTATTAGGGGAATAGAATCGAATCAGACTGTAACACTGATAGCCACATATTCAGCCAGATGATAGTCGGTGCCAGTACCGGTAGCTGAAGACGAACTGCAAGCTGCATCTACATGTACTCCCACCACTTGTCCCGAGATCCAGGCGAGCACAAAAGGATGAATTCTCCTCATTCAACAGACAACGGCCAAAATTCGAAATTTCGAAATTAGAGAGGTGAGCGCTGCCAACAAAGGCAAGCCAAAGATCGAATGAGTATCAATCAAGGGCACGACAATTTTAGGAGAGACATTTAGACAATGTCCACAGGTATCGGAGTAATGATGGCCGTTGCTGAGGTGCGGGCTGACCGCCACGATGAAAAGAGAAGAGAGTTTTGTAGACAGCGCCTGTTTCTGTTACGAGCTGTCGGCTTGGGTAGCATTCTAGTTCTTTCCGTCTATTTTATCTGTCGTTGTTGCCACCAACAAGGACAGGATCTGATGATGCCAGAGTCAGAGGTGCCAATTGTGGATGATACCGTTGAGTCTTCAAAACACAAACTGTATCCCATAACGGCGGGCCACGATCCCACGTCACTGACGACACCGCCGACATTGGAATTGAGGAAACGTAAACGAAGAACCCTGAAAAACAAAGGATTAGGAGGTGTAGGGAGGAAACAGAGAACACGAGGGAGGGCCAACCAAAAGGGCGAAGAAGCTTTCGACCGCGCTTTCTTTGTGCGCAGTGGCGATAGAAGCAGCATGGTGATGGGAAGCAGTAACGGGATTGTGCAACCGATATCGTCAGATACCTATGTTGTAGAGGACGAACAAAACGATGGCATCATCTACAGCCCTGGACCTGACTATCGCCAAGGAGTAGATGACAGTGCCAATGGAGGCCAGTCAAAGCCAAACAACAGCAACAATGGTGCACGAGGAGATGCCACTGGCAGAGTAAAAGGATCGCGCTCCAAAACAGAAACTGGCAATAGTGGCGGGGCAGGTGGCCAAGCCAAAGGAAGTGTGGCAGAACCAGAAGCTGGAGGAGACGGCCGTAACAAAGGGGCTCTCTTGGAACCACAGGGGGAAGGATTGGACGCAGAAAGCGCCAATAATGGAGGGGTCACCGGATACGCCGAAGGAGTTCTCTCTGAACCACAAAGTAAAGGATCAAATGAACAAGTTGACAAGGGCAAAGGGGTAGATGAACCAGTTAATGGCAACCTATCCGAAGCAGAAGTTGACGGGGTAGATGGAGAAAATGACAATACGGAAGGGTTAGATGTTCTTCCCGAACCACAGCATGAAGGAGTGGAGGGAGAAAGTGACAGCAGTGCAGGGGTGGATGAAAATGCACCACTAAGTGAAGGATCAGATGGAGAAAATGGCATTGGCGAAGGGGAATATGGCCATGTCCAAGTAGTTCTCTCGGAACCACAAAGCGGGGTAGGCGATGGCAAAGTCACCGCAACTGTCACCGGCCATGAACCACAAAGCGAAGGATCGGATGGAGAAAATGGTCTTAGTGAAGGGGAATATGGACATGTCCAAGTAGTTCTCCCAGAACCAGAAAGCGATGCAGGCGATGGCAAAGTCACCGCAACTGTCCCCAGTTATGAACCACAAAGGGAAGGCGCAGATGGAAACATTGACAATAATGAAGAGATAGATGGCCAAGTCGAAGGATTTCAATCAGAACAACAAATGGAGTTTACGGATGGCCAAGTCATCGCAACTGTCAGCAGACCGCTGCGTGACGATGGCCAGGGAGTGGGCAGCAAGATCAATGGAATTCCCACCGAACCAGCACTTGGCAATAGTGAACAGGTGGATGGTCAAAGCAATGGAATACTCTCAGAACCAGACATAGAAGGGTCAGGTGGACAAGTCACCGCAGTTGTTGCCCGACCTGCTTTTGACAATGGTCAGGGAGTGGACAGCAGGATCAATGGAATTCCCTCCCAATCAGCACTTGGCCATAGTGAACAGGTAAATGGTCAAGTCTTGAACTCTGAAAACATTGAAGGGGTCGATGGCAGAATCAACGGAATCATCTCCCAACCAAATGCAGGGCAAGAGGGACAAGTCTCCTTTCAAGACAGCGGTGGCCCGGTCAAAGGAGTTATTTCACAACCAGGGTTTAGCAACAGTGCAGAAGTTGGCCAAGTCAATCCAATACTCTCAACAGCTGAAATTGGCCAAAGCGAAGGCGTGGATGGACGCGTTCAAGGAATTCGATCTGAACCTTTGCTTGACGAGTCCCCTTGATGCATGGTGAGAATCGCCTTACAATAAGGGGATCCCAATGTATAGCTTTACAGTTTCCAAAGTACAACGTCTCGACCAGAATGAATGCCATGCTGGGTCAAACAAGCAAGCTAGCTAGCTAGCTATCATTCTTGCGGCCAAATAATTGCAGGAGGCATTTGCACCAAAATGTTGCGAGGCTCTCCCGTCAGAGGAATATCAGAACGTTAAGGTACATGTAGGTTATCGGAACCCTCTGGTGCATCTAAAGACAAGGAAGCAACGGTAATGTTGTATCTTTCGTGTCCTGTCCTCGGGGCGCAAGTCAACACTACTTTTAAATTAAGATACTTCCACGCAGTCCTCATTCAATCTCGTACGAAGCAACCTAACTGTGGCTGCCAGAAGACAGGCTCAGGGAGGGAGGCAAGCCAAGACTATTCGAGTTCAGCCCAGTGCAACTTTGCTCGTTCTCCCAATGCTCTCAGAGCGACCGTATCACAAACGACGGCTGGTCCACATCGAGGAACAATGTCGATGTCGAGGGTCGGATTTGGCTGAGTATGACATGAAGCCGTGTGCACCAACTATTAATAGCTAGCTTTGAATCTTTCGTTGCCGCCCAGACGGAACCATCATACCGGCACCTGCCAATCGACCTCGAAAACTGGCCTTGATAGCTGCTGCTGTGCAGGGAAGCTATCTATTAAACCCAGTCTAACTCAGCTATCAACCACCAACTTCATTCGAGTACGGGTGACACGGCTCGAGGATATCAGTACAGCCATGTCAATACATAGCTCGTAGTGACATGTTCAGGGGCAAACACAGGAAGTGGTGATCTTCGACGACAAGGTCCCAGTAATAGACGGCCAGATCGTTTCCCGAACTAACCATCCATGAGTCTTCCTCGACTCCCAGCCACCGCCTCAGCCGTCCGCACTCCGGATGACATGGGCAGTTCACTAGGACTATTTAGGGACGACTAAATACACCTGTGTGTGCAGTGTCGAAACGATAGTGCTAGAGTTTGGAAACGGTGCTATCTAGTGCACCAATCCAAAACCGTTGGGATCCAAAACCGTTGGAAGGTGCAATCTGGTGCACCTAGCCAAAACCGTGGAAACCGACATTGAACTGAGTAGCCCCTTAAAAAGAAAAGGACGCCAATGTCCTCTTCGATTGGTGGCTACTAGCAATGTGGGCTTGGATTGGCTCCTGCTGCGACTGTTCTCCTGATAACCCTAACCCTATCTACGTGACGTACCAGTCCAGGCAGGAGCAAATGTGCTTCCACATTGCTCTGCTTAGAGTCATGCGATAGGAGTCTTCCTCGACTCCCAGCCACCGCCTCAGCGTCCGCACTCCGGATGACATGGGCAGTTACTAGGACTATTTAGGGACGACTAAATACACCTGGTTGTGCAGTGTCGAAACGATAGTGCTAGAGTTTGGGAAACGGTGCTATCTAGTCACCAATCCAAAACCGTTGGGATCCAAAACCGTTGAAGGTGCAATCTGGTGCACCTAGCCAAAACCGTTGGAAACCGACATTGAACTGAGTAGCCATGTCCAGCTGACGAAGCAGCGTGTCGTAGACACAGCTGCCGAAGCCCCATGTCAACTGAGTCAGCGGACGGCTGGAGTGGGAGAAAACCACCTACTCTAGAGGGGAAAACCCACGAAGGCAAAGCTTTGCACACGAAAGGGGAATAATGCAAAGCTATTTGTTTAGACCACTGCAATAGCAGTGGGGGGATGATTGCCAGCGAACGACATAAGCTCAGGCATAGAGTCGCCAGGACCGAATGTCTTCTGGCGCAGAATATCGGCGTGGCGACGAGCCAGGCCCAGTGTATTGCGCAAGTAATCCATAAAGGCGTTGGATTTCCAGCGCAGGAGCCATTGGATTTGGATCTCGTTATAACCGGCTTCGAAGAGAAGCACGCAAGCGCCCACTCGGAGAGAGTGGGAACTCCAACGACGAAGTTTCGTCTTATCTTTGCTCGGGGAAAACCCAAACTGAGATGCAGCATGGCACGCATAGACTTGAGGATAGCCTGGGGATGAACTGAATGGACATGCCATATCGATTGTAGACAAACACCGACAAAGGGGTTCTCACATCCTCAAGGCTTCGAAGACGGATAAAGCGCCGCAGGATTCGAAACATGCGCAGACCATACAGAGGTGGGGGTACCCGAACAAAGCAACAAAGAGTCGCCACTGCCCATTCTCCCATTCTTCTGCTGGCGGAAGCACAGCCAAAGTTCAGCCACCATTGACACGTCAATGGGGTTGTCAGCAGTGCAAGAATAGCGGCACCTTCCAGGATTGTCCGTTGTAAGCTTGACTTGGACTCACCCAAGCAGAAAGCGTAAGATCACCATAGATGTTCGATAGGGAAAATCAGGATCAATGTGGGTCGATTCGGGCTGAGCCCACTCAACCTTTCGGAGTCCAGCGCGAAGAGCAACAACATACCAATCGGCCAAGACTTCGTCAATGTGGTCAGACCAAGGAGCTACCTTGGCTCGCGCAATAGCATCGTACAACATTGGGAGCGTGAAAGCTTCGCGCCGCTGGATGGCCTTCTCATACTTGTCGATATTATCGTAAATCGATTTCAGATGATGGCCCATGGATTCCGAGAAATGAGAATCTTTGCGGTAGTCGCAAAAGGTTTGGGATGCCTTCAGGAGAAGGGCAGCTGCATTACGGATATAGGTTTTGATAGTATCCCCTTGATGCGCCGACAATACAGACTGCCGTCGGACCAGAGATGCTCGGCATACATACACAAAGCCAGTTGGATGGCTTCGGATCGGCGTCTTTGATCTCCAAAATTGGAGGGGAGATTGGACTGGAGTGGTCCAGTCTAAATCATAAGCGAACCCGATGAAATCACTTGGTGGAACGAGCTGTCCCAGCTCGCTTGGAAGACTTGGTACCTCCATTGGAGATCTGGAGAATAGACTCCAAGAGAGGAGCTGTAGCAAGGCGGGACTTGGGCGGAAAGAATTCCAGCTTCGCATGAAGCTGAACTTCTGGTACAGCTGCTCAGCCCGTTCACGATGAGAGAGGTCAAAATGGGTGGGACGTGAGATAAAATCAGCCAGGATATTTTCAACGCCGGCAATATGCTGAGCAGTGATACTGATGCCAGATGTTCGCAACAATTCACAGTAAACGCCAAGCAAACGCTGACCTGGGGGGACTTGGTGGTGGCACGATTCGCCCAAGAAACAGACGACGTGTTGTCGGACCAAGACAACACCACCGGGATTTCGGGCTCCCCATAAGGGAAAACTTCAGCTTTCTCCTCGGGAGAGAGAGAACGGAGGGCAACGATGGAGCCAGCAGTTCCAGAATGATCGTCAAGAACTCCAACTGATTGATGTGGATGAAGTTTGGCGAAGAGGGGTCCAGCTTCAGGCATCGACGAACACGGTCACTCCAAACAATGTCAAACCAGAACTTGAGTTGGGGGCTGTAACCACCAGCGCCATATTCACTGGCATCGCCCCAGGCGATAGCGTGGGGGTCTCTGGAATGATGGTTCCGATCTTGGCCTCAAACGGAATAGGATCCGACTTCAAGTAATGGAGAATGTGGACAAGGAACTGCGAAGGGACGAATCGACCGTCTGGGTTCCTTTGTTGCGCCAAATCAGGAGGGCTTTCTCCCGTGCCAGATGTTTTTGACACGTTTCCAGAAGCCTCAGGTAGCTCTGCATGCAAGTCGGCTGCCTTCTGCTGCCAATTCGTTCCCAGGTTTTGCGCTGGGTGAAATAGAGGCGCTGCAACAAGGTACGCATCCGATTCTGGAGGGCAAAGAACCAAGGGCGTGCCCACACCACATAGCGTGTGTGGTTTCCAAGACGCCTAGGAGCTCAGCACCCTCGAGCAATGAGAACCGATCTTCTGGAGCCAATCCTCGAGGCGGGAAATGAGCTCAGTTTCTTGTGCTCCAACATGGAGATAGACAATCGCCGAGTGTCCCAATGGCGGCCAACAATCTGGCGCAAATGGCCATGAGGGGATCCAACTTCTCCAAACTCAATGGGTTGCTGATGTCAGGAGAGGGCTCACCGAGAATCTTGTAAAGGCTAACGACGCTGCATGCAATGTTCGCTCCATAGTAGCCCTCACATCAGCTTTAGCACAATCATCAACATGATGAAGGAAAGGGGTGGGAGACGATTACCATGCTGTCATGGATGCCTTGATGCTGACTATCCGGGTGGCTTTAGAAAAGCTGGCAATTTCAGCCTCCGTCGGTTCTGGGGTGAACTGGACCGTTGGTAAATATTGGCGCGCCATTTCAACCACATTGGCTCATTGAGCCACAGCCATCGAGCAAGCCAAGCACGAGCAAGGGCAATCCGGTCCCAGTTGGAGGGAGTTGTATTGTCTCCAAAGTGCCACCGGTATTGAACACGCCGAAACCACACTGACACTCGTATGCATGGCAACCAAATTGGGATGATATTTCAACCAACGGAGGCACCACTGACGTCATCATCGCCAAGGTAAATTTCTTCAAACTCGGCGTCAATCCGCGCATTCCACAGCCATTTCATAAACTCTTGTTCGATAGCCACACAGATAACTGGGTTTTCGTACGAAGAGTCCGTCCAGTCGTTGATAGAAACGGAAGAATGGGTGGGACGGAAAGAACTGTCAAAGATCACTCTCGTTTCTTGTACTTGTTGTCCAGGTCCACCATGCCCTGGGGGGTAACGTGACAGTTCAAGACGAAAGGAATGACACGCTTATCGAAAGTAGACGTAACCCTTTTTGACATCCTTCACCAGAGTCTTGTAAGACTTTCGGGTGCAGTTTCGCAGCTCTTGTGATTCCCGTACTTGAAAAACTGCTGGAAGTTTTCCTCCGTGGATCGGCATTGCAGTGCCGTGGAATGCCCTGGATAAAGATTCGCTCACAGTCTTCGTAGATGTCACGGGGATCTTCCCTTTCAGTAGCGAAGCATCTCTGGAACATTGCGATGAGCATTCACAT